GCCGGCTGTTCATTCTTGCTTGTTAAAGTCCACACATAGCACAGTAATCTCCATCTCATGAGTCAATTTCAGGGTTGACTCAAAATAGACTCTTAATGCACAGCACAGTAATCTCCACCTCTTCCTCCGTCACTCTCTCCCATAACCCTTCCCCGCCACCTTTCTTCTTCCTCCCCTAACCCCTCCTACACTCTCCACGCGCGTTCCCTGACCCCCACATCCCACCTCCCATGCCTCTTCTCCTGCATCCATCCATCCCCACCCTCGCACCTTCCCAACCACACACCTCACGTGCAATTGCCAAGCAACATACTCTCCCCATCAGCCGTTCGTGGCCCTGAAAATTCCTGCCACCTTTCTCCCGTGTCTCTCGTTTGCCCCACCATTTCTCCCTGTGCGCTTTGTGTGCGCTTGTGTGCGGTGCAGGGCTGTTATCGTTTGGCAAGAGTGGGCCCATGATTGCAGCGGAGGAGGCCAAGGAGGTTAAGGAGGCCATAGCTGCCGCTTTTCCCTCGCCCCCCTGACCACATGCTTTCCTCCCCTCATAGTATAGTATGATACGTTTCCGTGTCATTGTGACGTATTGAAGGGTCATGATCATCAACGGCTTTGTTGGAAATGAGAGATTGGATTGGCAGGATGGAGAGATTGGATTGGCAGGATGGAGAGATTGGATTGGCAGGATGGAGAGATTGGATTGGCAGGATGGAGAGATTGGATTGGCAGGATGGAGAGATTGGATTGGCAGGATGGAGAGATTGGATTGGCAGGATGGAGAGATTGGATTGGCAGGATGGAGAGATTGGTTTGGCAGGAGAAGACATTTTTGTTGTCCTATGATAGTTTAATCAACTTGTACTGGTACTGTCCAAGCCTGAATTCATTAACGCAGTATATTGTTCACGCCTTGGAGTTGATTATGTTGAGTACGCTTGTACAGTCCTGTATTACCCTACTGTACACAAACGCCTGTGGCTCTGTTCCATTTCGGCGCTCCATAGGCGGAACCAACCACCCCGCCAGCCACCAGCAACGCAGCAGCAAGCAAGACCACACAACCACACCATTTCCCGTGCCTTGACACCCCAAGGTGTTGTCACCTACAGTCGAGTGGAGTCTACACCAGAAGCTGAGTGATGGTAGATGACGAAGCGTAGGCAGAAGGGAATAACAAGAGGCAGCAGAGGAGCAGGCAATGGAACGAAGGAAGCTTGTAGCTTGCTTGTGCTTTGAATGCAAGTACGTGTAATTAAGAAGCTAATACTGTTGTAGGAAACATGAGTTCCGATCCAAGCATCGTCAGCTTCATGTGAAGAGAGTGGCCGATCAACTGCTTTTGCAGGCACGTCGTGTGACGCGAGGAGTCGACACCTCAAAGTCAACCGTTTGCGGTTCAAATGCGCCGTCGCGCCAATCGTGGGCCTGTTGCTAGGAGGGAGGGACGCTTGCAGTCAGAGCAGTACTGAGCGTGTTTACCACTGCACGACGACGGCGACGACGTCTGCGACGACGACGACGACGACGATGGCGACGGCGACGGTATATAACGACAATGTGTCCCAGCAGCAACGGCAGGCGCCTCCGAGGCCACCGGCTTTTCCACGGAGCTCCAGCGTCGGCAGTGGTTCAACCGCAGCGAATGGCACTGCAAGCGACCGTTTCTCACCGCTTCACCGCTCATCGCATAACCTCTCCACCGTACCGCACCGCCGCCGACCCAGCGACGATCGCGCCGACGACTCGGCGATGCCCCTCCCGCGTCGATCGTCGCCTGGCGGCTGCGCGCCCGATGCGGCGCTCGTGCCGCGACCGCCTCACGCGCTACCGTCCAATCCGTGCCGACCACGGCATCGCAAGTCTCTCTCTCTGGGCGGCTCGGTTGGCCCAGGCGGATCTGCTGTCACCGCTTTCCCCGCCGCCTCTGCTTCTGATGGTGGCAGCGGTGGTAGTGGTGGTGGTGGTGGTGCCCTGGGAACTACTGATACTCCATATTCGCCCAACAGAGCACCTGCGGAGGGCAGGCCGCCTAAGAGCCAACACCAGCCACGGCAGCAGCAGCAGCAGCAGCAGCAGCAGCAGCTGCGGCAGCAGTGTATACAGAATCAGCGTGAGAAGCAGCAGCAGCCGCAGCAGCAGCAGCAGCAAGGGAGGGAGGGGCACAGGCGGTGTGTCTCCTGGGACGTGACTGCAGGAGGACTGGCAGGGAGCACACGCCGCATGCACTCTCCGGCTGCTGGTGCCCAAAGTACGTTGCCTCACACTCATGTGCCTGGCACAGCAGCAGGCGCAGAGGAGGACGAGGCGGAGGAGAGGGAGAGGGAGGAGGAGGAGAGTTCTTATGTGAGACGCGCGCACGGGAGCGTGAGGGGAGTGATGAGCGGCGTCACTTCTTTTGCCGCTGCCGCGGCGGCCGCTGCTGTTGCTAGTGAAGCTGCTGCTGCTGCTGCTGCTCCTGTTGCTGGTGGGGATGGCACTGCTGCTACCAGGGACGGTGCAGGTACTGTCCGGGAGAATGCGAGTTCATCCAGCGAGCCTCTGCATCTGCAGTGGGGGGGAGAGGACTCAGCTCGATGGCTGGAGGAGCGTGTGGGTGGAAACACAGATGCAGGTGCGGGGAACAGCAAGAGCAGCAGCAGCAGAAGAGGCAGCAGCAGAAACATCAGCAAGAGCTTAACTGCGAGAATGTTTGTTGGGAGAGCGAGCTTCAGTGCTGGTGGGGGCAGTGCCGCTAGCAGTCTGGTAAGCAGCTTCGGCTTTCGAACCAGCAGCAGCAGAAGCAGCAGCAACAGTCGGCGCAGCAGTGGCAGTCTTGGTGGTAGTGCTGGCGCTGGCTTTGCTGCTGCTGGTGGTGGTGGCAACAGCAGCGGCAGCGGTAGTAGCAGAATAAGCATGGCTCGATTAATGGCTCGAAGCCCTAGCGAGAGCAGCATTCGCAATCCGAGAGAAGAAGAAGAAGAGGAAGAAGAAGAAGACAGGGATAGGAGCAAGAATGGAGACCTAGGAAGTACCAGCAGGAGCAGAAGCATGCGAAAAGATGGTAGCATGTATTGCTCCGCCGCTTCGCCTTCCTCCCCACCCCGCTCCCCCGCACTGCTGCCGCGCCAAGCGCTGGTGTTCAGGCAGGAGCTCAGATGGGGGGGGACGGACAGAGACGCATGGGGAGGAGGGCTAGGAGGGCTAGGAGCGCGGGTGGGTTCCATTGGCAGTAGCAGTCGTGGAACCATACCTTCCTCTCACGCGCCCTCTCCCTCTGCTGCTGCTGCTGCTGCTGCTGCTGCTGCTGCTGCTGCTGCTGCTGCTGCTGCTGCTGCTGCTGCTCCGCCGTTCACCTCTCTCTCTACTGCAAGGGGTCTCCCCATAGTTCGTGGATGTGTCATCTCCCCCAACCGCCTCCCATTACAATCACCACCAGCAGCGGCAGCAGCAGCAGCAGGAGCAGGCGGTACTAACGGTAGATTGGTGGAGGAGAGTGGAGGGGGAGTATTGGGAAGGGCCAGAACAGCCCCTGCTCGGTCCCAGCCTGTTGTCTCACCGCCTCGCCCCCCCGCTCAGGTGGTGCTTGTCCCGAACGTGCTTCCGGACGTGAGCTCCAGGCTCGGCAGCACGAACCAGCGGTGGCGGTGTGGGAGTGCGGGCCGGGAGCAGCAGGTACGGGAGCAGGGGAATGGGAGGTGTGGGTTGGGGAGCAGAGGGGAGCAGGAGCAGGAGCGGGGACGGGAGCGGAAGCGGGAGCAAGGGCAGGGGCAAAAGCAGGAGCAGCAGCAGCAGCAGCAGCAGCAGCAGCTGGCAGCGCGTAAGCAGCAGGCGTTGGAGGAGTATTTTAGCCGCACTCAAGACTTTCTGCAGCGGAACATGAACCCTAAAAAGCCTGCTGGCACAGCCACGACCCCCGTGGGCTCTCAACAACAGGGAGACAAAGGGATTTGCAAGAAGAAGAGGGGCGGTGACGTGGGGCGTGGTGGCAAGGGAGGGAGGAAAGGGTCGAAGAAGCAAGGAAGAGTGGAGTCAGGAGGTGGTGCAGGGAGCAGGCGGTTAGGGGGGGAGAAGTGGGGGGTGGGAAGCCAGAGCATGAGGATTCCGGACTGGGAGGGGTATGACAAAGGGGCAGGAGGGAGGAGAGGAACAGGGGAGTGGAGAAGAATGGGAGGAGGGATTGACCGAGGGACTGAGGGATGGGGTGTTGGAGAGGGGGATGGAAGGGAAGGGGAAGGGGAAGGGGAAGGGGACGTGGGAGGGGAAGTGGGAGGGGAAGGGGGATGGGAGGGGGGGTTGGGAGGAGGGAGGCACAGGCGAACAGGATCAGAACCAGCAAGCGTGTGGGAGCAAGAGAGGGTAGCAGATGGTAATAGGGGACAGTTAGAGGGCCCCGTACTGGGACGGTTAGGAGAGCGGGCCAAAGGCCGTTTTGATAGGCGATCACAGGGCGAGATGGCTGTGTGCGAAGCAGCAGCGGCAGGCTTTGTCGCAGCGGAAAGGGATGACTTCGAAAGAGGGGGGTGTGAAGGGGGGGGATGGAGGGCGAGGAGGAGCGGGAGCGGGAGGGGGGATAGGAGGGGCTGTGATGGGCCTAGTGGGGGTGCTTTGGTGGTGGATGGGGCTGACGGGGGAGAGGGGTGGGAGGAAGGTGAGGGTGTGGATGAACAAGGGAGGGATGTGGGGGTCTGGCAATGGGAGGCGGGAGGGGCAAGGGGAGAGGGGCAGTGGAAAACGGAAGGTGGTTGGGATAGGGACGAAGAGGCGTGGGCGAGGGAGGGGGAGAGTGAGTGGGCAGGGGTAGGGAGTGAGGGTGTGGATGAGGGGGATAGAGGAAGGGAAGGGGATGGGAGAAGTCGAGGGAGGAGTGGAGGGAGGAGTGATGGGAAGAGTGATGGGAAGATTGATGTTGGGAGTGATGGGAGGAGGAGGAGTGGTGGTGAGGCGTGTGGGGCGTATGACATCTGGTGCAATGGTGACGTGCGCGAGAGTGATGAGAGAGGCTGTAACGAGGGCGCGGCGGCGGCATGGCCGGGAAACATTGCAGGGGGGGATGGGCAGCCCTGGCCTTGCTGTGAAGAGCGAGGCGCAGGGAGCAGCAAGGAACGGAGGGGGAGAGAGGGGTACTTTGGGGAACTTGGGTTCAAGGATGGGGGAGTATGGGACGTGGGGGACGGGAAAGAGGAGGAGGGGAGGGGAGGAGGAGGAGGAGGAGGAGGAGGAGGAGGAGGAGGAGGAGGAGGAGGAGGAGGAGGAGGAGGAGGAGGAGGAGGAGGAGGAGGAGGAGGAGGAGGAGGAGGAGGAGGAGGAGGAGGAGGAGGAGGAGGAGGAGGAGGAGGAGGAGGAGGAGGAGGAGGAGGAGGAGGAGGAGGAGGAGGAGGAGGGAAGGCAGTTCTTAACTTGGGGCATGCAGGTGGGGGGACAAGCGAGAGAGGTGTCAGAAGAGAAGTTGAACGATGCAGATTACTTGTGCTTAGAGGACAGGGAGGAGGGTAGCCGGGAGGGGATCACTGGCAGGTGGTCAGAGGGAATAGGTGATGATGGGGAGGGGGTGGAGAGGAGGGGGACGAGGATGAAGAGGAGGAATTCGAAGAGGAAGAGAGGGAGTGCGATGATGATGATGATGATGAGGAGGAGGAGGAGGAGGAGG